CAGCCAGGGCTCTCACTTGCCACACTCATGTGGCCTGGAGAGCTTTCCATAAGTGGCAGAATTACCTGAGTTTCAGCTGTGATCGCACCTCTCCAAACTCCAGCTGGAGCAGTTCGTTGTAGCAAGCCATGATGTTGGGGTTTTCAATATACCTCTACAAACAGAAAAGGGAAATTTTCGGATAAACAGAGGTGCTTCTTCAAATAATTGTATGTGCCAAGAAAAATAACTCTTCTAAACAAACTTCTTAATTTGGCAAATGAAATCTAAAAAAATACTTTGTTACCATTAATGATGAACAAGAGGTGAGAGAGAAAATTTATGGCACCAAATTAGCTTTTAAAAAAATAAGGTTTAGGCTGGTCCGAAGGTAGTGAGTTATCTCACTTGATTGTTCACAGTCAGTTACAGATTGAACTCCTTGTTCTACTACTTAACCCCCCTCCTCACTACTACACTTGACTAGTCTTTAAAAAAAAAAATAAGGTTTAAGAATGCTTTTCTTTCAGTATCTTGAGTTGAGAGCAATTTGGTTGTTTGCATGTCACTGATAAAGCAGAGGCTAGTATATGTTGAGGAAGAAATTTATTAACTAAATTCCTATTTATATTAGACTTTCAGAGTATACCCAAGAAAAATAGTTTATCCTCTTTAAAGTCATTCAAGCTCACGGTGAGCAAAAACATGCTCACATTTCTATTTGCACCTGCATTTCGCGAGGGAATCCCCACTTGGGCAACATTTTCCTACACTAACCTCCAACGGCGGCACAGCAAAGCCAACAGATGGTTATCTTCCACAGCAGAGGTACCGGCAGAAGCCATGGATTTGCCCAGTGTCTCTTATTGCTGTGGACATTAAGTATTTCATGTAATAACCTTTACATAATGGAAACATCTCATGACAGAGCAAATCACATAGTTCTGAGAAGATGGACCCATTACAGTACCATGAAGACATCTCAGCAGTCACTGTATTCTATCACCTAGGTCCACTCGGATTTAAACATATTTGTGAACATTACCCCTCCCCCACTTCTGTGAAGAGCTCTTTGATTTTACCTGCACAATAAACGGATAACACTTCACCTGACTGAGGGGAAGCTGCGGACTAAGAGGCCGGGCCTCTGCAGGCCACTGTCTACAAGCCCCAGCCAGACGGGAAACGGAAACAGGGCCTCTCGAGGAGTTCCTTCTACCGCCATGGTGAAGGCAGACGCCCCGTTTGAGCACTGATCAGGGTCTTCTCTGGGTGTCAAGCAACCTAAGAAACCAGCCCTAGCTTCGTGCCTTGGAAGCTGTATGGTCTTAAATTGGGCAATTGGGCACTGAACCTTCCTTAGCCTGCTTCCTCATCCAAAAAACAAGGAAAATAACTGTTCCTGCCCACTGTAAGAATAAAGAGAGATAATGGGAGAAAGCACCCTAACTACAATCTGCTGCACAAATGTAAGTAACAGCTGTTGCCATCCCCAGAAGGGAAGGCAAGACCTGCTGGCCAGGGTCATGAGTGTCCCCATGCCTGTGGGCCAAAGCCCTCTTCTCATCCAGAGCTCTGACACTGGTGACATGCTACCAGCTCCCACCAACTGAGACAGGAGGAGAGGGCTAGACCGTCTACACGGGAACCCACTGCTGACTGGACAGGAAAAAAAGAGAGATTTCTAGGCATAGTGCCATGTCACTACAGTACACAAGAGGTAGTGGCCTTGAGACAAACAGGGGTCCCCAGCTGCTCTGCAGGTAAGATCTTGAGATTGGCGGGGAGATATGTATTTATCCAATTCCAAAAATGGCCTCCCATGTATGCAACCAGATTTTTCATTGAGTATCAATGTTATATGTCTACCAAACTTTTTTACCGCAAGGTGGAAATCAAGGTACAAAACCCAGCACACATGACCAAGCATACACATGGGCAAACAGCATCTTGCTCCTGCTGTTTGCCCACCCCTCCTTACCTCTGCTTTGCTCTGTCTCAATACTGTTTTGTGTGTCTACATATCTCATTTTTCTTGTCCCTCTCCAACTTTTGTTTCTTTTTTTTTTTTGAGACAGAGTCTCACTCTGTTGCCTGGGCTAGGTGGCGTCAGCCTAGCTCACAGCAACCTCAAACTCCTGGGCTCAAGCGATCCTCCTGCCTCAGTCCCCCGAGTAGCTGGGACTACAGGCATGTGCCACCATGCCTGGCTTATTTTTTCTGTATATTTTTAGTTGTCTAGCTAATTTCTTTCTATTTTTAGTAGAGACGGGGTCTTGCTCTTGCTCGGGCTGGTCTCGAACTCCTGAGCTCAAACGATCTGCCTGCCTCGGCCTCTCAGAGTGCTAGGATTACAGGCGTGAGCCACCGCGCCCGGCCCAACTTTCGTTTCTGTTCCAAGCACTCCACAGGGCATGGAGAGTGGAGAATCAGGTCCAGGGATCCTCAGAAAGCAGGCTGCTATACCCTCTGCTTAAATAGCAGTTAGTCTTTTCCCAACTCCATCCCATGACAGGGGCTGGGGCCACAAACCCTGCGGACTTCCTGAGCTGACTGCACCTCACTTTCTCCAAAGCATCTCACATTCACTGCTAGGACCTAAGGCCCCCCCTTGCTACACCCAGTAGTTCTCAACACTTGGCTACATATTAGAATAACCCGCAATTTGAAAAAATAATACGAACATGCAGGCCCCTCCCCAGACCAACTAAAGCAGATTCTCTGGCAATGCTCTTCAAGGGATTCTAACGCACACTCGGTGGTGACCGATACCAAACTGCAATACTAGATATTTTAGTCAGCAAATGCTGGATTGCCAAGTCCAGCTGAGGAGGCAAGCAGGTCCTCCATTCACTTTGCAATCCTGAACCATGGCCGACCCACAAAATAGCTCGCTGTCTGCCACCTCCGAACATGAGAGATCTCACTGCAGTGGTAGCTTGCAGGTCTCAAGCCTTGGCTCCACTGCCTACGAGCCAGGTCTTTACTAGTCGCCACTGAGAAGCTGCTAGTTGTCATTCTCTTGAAGGTATTTCTCTGGCTGATTTTAAGATCTTCTTTCTCCTTGGCTTTTTTGTTTTTGTTTTTTAGTTTCACTATGATGTGTCCTATTTTTTTTAATTACTCTACTTCGGATTTGTTGGAACTTTTGAATCTGCGGATTAGTTTTTTTAACACTTCTGGAAAATTTTCAGCCATTCACTCTTTTTTTTTTTGAGACAGAGTCTCACTGTGTTGCCCGGGCTAGAGTGCCGTGGCGTGGTCTTAGCTCGCAGCAACCTCAAACTCCTGGGCTCAAGCAATCCTCCTGCCTCAGCCTCCCGAGTAGCTGGGACTACAGGCATGCGCCACCATGCCCGGCTAGTTTTTTCTATATGTTTTTAGTTGTCCAATTAATTTCTTTCTATTTTTAGTAGAGATGGGGTCTCGCTCTTGCTCAGGCTGGTCTCGAAACTCCTGAGCTCAAACAATCCGCCCGCCTCGGCCTCCCAGAGAGCTAGGCTTACAGGCGTGAGCCACCGCGCCCGGCCTCAGCCATTCACTCTTCAAACGTTTCCTTTGCCCCATCCTTCCTCTTCTCCCCCTGGAATTCCAGTTTATATATATATACACACACACACACACACACACACACACACACACACACACACACACACACACACCAAACCTTCATACTCTATCTTTCACATTTCTTAACCTCTCTAACTTATTTAGTCCTTGCATTTCTGTGCTACATGCTCTGATCTACTGTCTAAGTTCTAAATATTTCTGTTATTCTCATTTCTCAAAATTCAATTTTGTTCTGCATAAAATTTGCTATGTTACTTTGTATAGTTTCCCACTTTCTAGCTTGTCTTATCTTTTATTTCTTTACACATAATAAGCATACTTGTTTATAATTCATGTCTGATAACTGTCATATCTGAGGGTCTGTTTCTACTGTCTTTCTTCTCCTGCTAACTCTTACTTATGATGCGCCTTGTCGCCTGGTGGATTGGCTACCTTTGACTGTGGGCTGCCTGCTCCCCTTGAGCAATTTATTTGCAGAGATTCTCTGAGGCCAAAGATGAAGTTTTCTTCTTCCGGGGAGGAGCTGTATTTGCTTCTGCCAGGTACATAAGAGTACCACCCATCTAGACCACTTTAAACTAAATTCATAGCTTGAGGTTTCCTGACTACCTTGCTGATACAAACCTGGGTCACAAATTTGCCCAAGGGTCAATCCTACTTAAGTTCTACCCACCATGATTCTGAAGGCCTCATTTGCAACCAGCTGACCAAATCCCCCAGCCACCTTTTGCTTAGGAGAAACCAACAGATTGAAGCAAGGGGTGGAGAGAAAGGGATCTATGCTTGGGTTGCCTTATTTCTAGAATCCTTGAACTGGTTTTTAAAAAGTTGCATGTATACATGTCAGTATTATAGCAACACATTCTATGGTACAATTTTTAATGAGTATGCCATAAAAGATTTTATTATGTTTAGATGACTTTAGCAGGCATAGTTTTAACAGACTAAGAAAGTGAAGTGTTACCGATTAGATTAGCAGGTTATAAAGTCAAACTAAACCGTGACACAGCAGCACAATAACTTTTTTCTTCTAATCAGTCCAAAACTTTTGCTGGGCACTGAACTGAGATAATGTCTCCCACTCAATTGCACTTTTATAACAAAGAAAGTGGGTGCGTACCCTTGTGAATCCAGCAGCAAGGAAGGGCATTACAGATAACTCTTCTCTAGCCACCCTTCAAAAGAACACAGGGAAAGGTTAGACACAGTTTTTTCAATTATATCTCACCTCTTTTACTACATACTAATTTAAATATACTTTGTCACATAATGAATACTTTTAGATAAATCAGATTAATATAAAAATTTAAAGTATACAGTTGAAAACTGTTTCCTGTTTCAATTTGATACTTAGCTTTTTGGCAGTGTGTATTATAATACTTGAAATACAGAGATTACATTAGTAGACAGAATCCAGGAGTGTCCATATATTTACTTAATATGTAAAAATTTTAATTTAAACTAAGTTAAATTCTCTGTTTTCTTCTACTTTCAGTTTATTTTTTTTAAAAATCCCCTTCCCCCACATAGCTTAAGAAAAAAAGTATAAAGGACACAGAAACATTTTTTCTATATAGAAATATATAAGCTAGATAACATTCATTTGAATACTTGCCCTCCTTCTTATATATTTCTCT